TTTTTTTTTTGACAACTGACACCTGACAATTTTTTTTCTGATACCTGACGATGTCCTAAAATGTACACCGTACATGAGGCTGGTTTTGGCCTCCATGAAGTTTCCCCACTCAGAACCACTTTGAGTGGGTGAATGACTCTTACACAGCTATCTGTATACTGAAGTCTTAGGGATAGTGGATATAGAGCCTTTCTGAGTTTAATTAACAGATGTCTGCTAGGCGTCACCATCACAGTCAGCAGAACGTATGAACAGGTAACTTTGACTGGGGAGCCTTCAGCTCACGCTGCGTTGCTATTCTCCCCCCAGAAAACAAACAAACAAACAAACAAACATATTTCAGTTCAATTCAGGTTTATTTGTATAGTGCCAAATCACATCAACAGTTGCGCTAGGTGCTTTACATTGTAAGGTAAAGACAGAGAAACCACAACAGTCAAATGACCTTCTATGAGCAAGCAGTTGGGTGGCGGTGGGAAGGAAAAATTCCTTTTCTTTACCGGAAGAAGCCCCCCAGCAAAATCGGGCTCAGGAAGTGGCGGCTATCTGCCTCGACCCAGTGGGGCCGAGGGGAGGGAAACAGGACAAAGACATGCTGTGGAAGAGAGCCAGAGATTAATAATTACTAATGATAAAAATTCAGAGTGGTGTATAAACACACACACACTGAAAAAGAAACACTCAGTGCATCATGGGAAATCCCCAACAGTATGAACCTGTTGCGGCATAACAAAGAAAAGATTCAGGGTCCCGTAATCCAGGCCTAACTATAAGCTTTATCAAAAAGTACAATTTCAAGCTGGATCTTAAAATTAGCAAGGGTGTCTGTCTCTCAAGTCCAAATTGGGTGCTGGTTCCCCAGAAGAGGATCTGAAAGCTGAAGGCTCTATTTACAGAGGCAAAGCAAAGCAAGACCTTTTAACCGAGAGCACACAATATCCTCAACACATTTTCATTTGTTTTGAAATTTTCTGGTGGGGTCATGCTCTGGAAAGTACCGCTCATGTAGTACCGCTCGTTGAAGCTAAAAAGAGGTCATTTGTCTGCTTGTACAATTTGTTTCAAAGTCTGACATACATAAGCCCACATTATCAGTATCCTCCTTTGTCATGCTGCTTATGACTGCTCCAGAAGCACTAAACTACTGTGAACCAAATCATTAAAGTGAGCTGGTACTGCAATAACTTCACCGTGATATGGGTGTTTTAACCTTTTCATTGCCATATTGTATGAATTAGTGTAACTAATAGTTAAAGTATAGCAGTAGAATTCAGCTGACGGGGCACAGTGACTTTATTGGGTGGGTGTGGACCCCTGAGGCCCGTTCATAACGTCAGCAGTGCCTCACTTCCACTACTTTAAGTGATTAAACTGGGCCTCTTCAGTTTGTGTGTGCTGTTGGTGCGTATTTGGAGTTTTTTTTTTTTAATTGACTTGTTTAACTAATAATATGGCCTGTTGTGTTGTACAGACTACAGAAATCTGTGCTTCAGTTTCAGTGAGGGAAATTCCAGTATTTTATTAGTCTTTTACTTATGATAAAGGTGCTTTTTACCATGCATTAATTATAGGTAAATGTGTCTGTGCATTGCATCCATACAGTTTACAAATGCAGCTTTCTACCCAGGTTTATTAGTGTTAGCTGGTAACTTAGAACTCCACCCTCTTGTTCACATGTGGTCACTTCTAGTTCCAAGAAACCAACATGGCAGCATCCAAAAATTCAACACATCAGAGAGTGGAGCCCCAAACCCATTGATGATGTCACAGTGGCTACAGACATATGTTATTTTGCCTTTGGTTATTACTCAATATTCCAGTTAACAACACCAGCAGCAGCAGACACAGAGAGAATTTGTGTCACGGGCATAACAAGACGATGACGCATTCACAGT